TATCCCTACTATATAAAAGCGCTAAGTCTGTCTGTCTGTCTGTGTGTGTGCGTGTGTCACGAAATTCATAGCACGCGTCGCAGCAGTCGTTAGGAGCTGATTTTTTGATATGATATAGGGGGTGGGACGGAGAACATATTTGGTGGGGGTCACCAAGTGATAACGACTGATAAGAGATAAGAGGCGCTGAAACACAAATTTCACGAAATTCATAGTGCGCTTCGCAGCAGTCGTCAGGAGCTGATTTTGGGACATGATATAGGGGGTGGGACGGTAACATATTTGGTGGGGGTCAAAAAGTGATAACGACAGATGAGGACTGATAATTACGATATGCGTACGAACGTAGAGATTACTCGAAACCAGATTGCAGATAATGCATTTCATTTCAATATCATTTCATCAGCGTTGTAATTGTAAACTCCTTTCGACCGCTACACCTTCTAGAGTTCTTGAGGATGAATGGGATGCTCGAATAAATATGATAATGAATACTAGGCATTCCGTTTTGAGATATTCGACCGCTAAATTACCTCGATACTCGACGCATAGTGGTTGTTTACATCATCACTTTAGCTGTGCACTTCACTGCGCTTATCAAACAGTGAGATACAGCCAAGATGGGCAGCCTATGTAACTGACAGTAAATACATTTAACGAAGCAGCTATAATTTAGCGGTGAAACCTAAAGCTTCATCGATTGTCAGTTCTATCAATGCGCGCGGTAGCGGGCGGAGCTAAACTGGTATTATATATATTTTCTACTGTTGCACGGGCGTCCGTGCGTTACGACGCCTAGCGGAAAAAAGAACAAAAGAAAAGCGACAAACATCTCTATAAGACTCGTATTGCGAAAACCCACGGCATTACGTGGCACAGCAATTGAGGAAAGCGATTACGAAGATTGAAGACGAGGAGGATGAAAAAGAGGGTCGAGAGACCACTGATAGCGTGCATTACATCATTGTGAATGGATGCAGCTCGTTAGCGTATAAGTTGACATGCCGGAGCCGGGGGCGGCTCTGCGAGACTCTGGCGCATCACCTCGGCCTTGCGGGGGGGAGGGCGGGGTGGACACGTCGAAACACAAGCCGATAGTAAAAATCGACAAGTAGGACTAATCCCGGAGAGGGGAGAAATCCAGGGAGAGCAATAAGTGGCTCACATCCGTGCTTCTCAAAATCCGCCCCTCGAGTAATGCTCAGTCTAAAGTACGTCCAGTACTAGTAATAAGTGGCTCACTCCTATTGACAATGCTCCCGTTCCTACCCCCCCCCCCAACAACATGAGGGCCGCTCTGCAGTTTTCCCGAATATCTCAACAAGTGGACCGGATTGCACCTAAAAATGATCGCGGGAATCCGGTCTTCGACTCGCTTAGTAAGCCTGCCCACACAAGAGAAGCAAGAAATCTATCAGGAGCCAATGTCGAGTGTATTAGCACCAACGAAGGCCTAACAGCAATTATAGCAGAGCGCCACCGTAACCCGTAAGCCTGGTGCGAACCATACTGTACATTTACAGGCCAGATCCGCTTTGTGCCAAGCGCGAAATCACTTTTACGTGTGGGGTGCACAACAGGAAATGACAATAGATATGTTGAACCCACACCAATGCATGAACCCGCTGGTAACGTGGTTACGACACTGTAGTACGTGTCTGAAAAATCGTTTTATCCTAGTAATCATCGAAATCATCACCACGTGCCGGAAGAGAAATTAAATACCGTTTTTTGAGAACGCTGCTTTGTTTTTTTCCAAATAGAGATTTCGGACCCTCGTTCAGCATACAGAGTAGAGTACATTCAAATAGCTGCAGCAAAACTGTCCAGTTTGGTCTTTTGAAAGAAGGGCGCACGATTAAAAGCCCCGGACCGATTGCCTAGGGCACGAGCGAAGAGGCAGAGACGCAGCGTGAGCAGGACGAGTCGCAGCGCGAATCGGAACGTACTACTAGGCAACACCTATCAACTTGACGCTGAAACACCTATCAGACGCCGCTGCGACTCGTCCGACTACCCCATCCTACCGACGGGCTCTTGTCGACACCCCCGACATTTGCTTTACCATCGATTTGATTTGTGAAAAAAAACTGGTATTATCTCGAACATATTCTTCGAACCTTAACGATCGCATCAGCAAAAATACAAAATTTGGGGCTCTTGCCACCTAGCTTTCAAGAGTGGTTCTGCTAAGCACCACAAGGATTACACAGGCGTCGCTGGCAAAGAAATCCTACCCAAAATATTAGCAGTCCATACTTTTTGATGTTGCGGTCCGCTGCTGCCTTCATGACAATTCTTCCGATTGCTGTTGAACCAGTGAAAGCTACTTTATCCACATCAGGGTGAGTGGCCACAGCATTTCCAGCAGTTGGTCCAAAACCTGGTTCTACGAGTTTTCGTAGAAGGAAAGGTATCGATGATTTCTAGCTCTCACTTCGCTCTTCTTCAATCAATCTCGGTCATTTGCAGATCTATGATGAGTTCATTGCACGCTCCGTAGAGATGGCTAAGAAGAGGAAACTCGGAGATCCAATGGACCTCAGCACGCAACAAGGACCACAAGTACGAATCTTTAGCTCTCAAGTTGTTCTTACGATTAGGCTCTTCCATGAATAGTGTGGTTATGCCGCGGAAAAGAAGGTAAAGGTATGAATTGGAAGGCTAGTGAAGGAAAAGAAGAGATAGCGGTGAAAATCCTGAAGATTTGAGCTTTTTTTTCTTGGATGATTGCCTTTCTTGGAAGACAGCCTAGAAAACACTGTGCTATGAGGAGAGAGAACATACGAGCGAGACGAGATAGCATACAGGACGACGGAGACGGCAGACACCTCAGTAATACGCGGATGCATTGTGAGCAGAAGGAGAAGGCGATCAGTGGCGGTCATGTCATGACCCTCATTGTCTTCGTAGCATACTTTCATGTTGAAAAAGGTCATATGGTCCACCTTCGTCGTTACTCTATTCTACTCACGACCTATCCAATCCTCATACTGGAATTTGTCTTTCATGAAATCCAAGTCTTAATTGTTTGACTGGAAATTAGTCTGAATCACTTTCAGGTTGATGAAGAGCAGCTGAGAACCATTGAGCGATATGTGGAGTATGGCAAGAAGGAAGGTGCCAAATTGGTCGCAGGTAAGCCAGTTCTGCTTCCAATTGTTGAAGGGCATGCCTTTGCTTGGAACCATTCAAGAAAATGCCATCTATGAAGGCTTCCAATGATCAGCTGATTCCTTTCTTCCTTGTAGGTGGAAAGAAGTGGGGAGACAAAGGTTTCTTCTTCGAGCCAACTATCTTCGCCGATGTCAAGGACGAAATGACAATCGCTCAGGAAGAGGTGAACTTTGGAAAACAACACTTTTTCTTACCTTGAGCAGCATTCATACTTTCTGCCAGTTCTCAGTCTCGTTTTTGTTACTACAGATTGCGGAT